GGGAAATAAAATCTAGATGGAGCTACTATAAGGTGGGTGCATAACTGGTTGGAAAATCGTTCCCAGAGAGTAGTTTATCAGTGGTTCACAGTCATGCTGGAAGGGCATAACGAGTGGGGTCCCGCAGGGATCGGTTCTGTTCACTATCTTCATCAATGATTTAGATAATGGCATAGAGAGTACACTTATAAAGTTTGCAGATGATACCAAGCGGGGAGGGGTTGCAAGTGCCTTGGAGGATAGGATTAAAATTCAAAATGATCTGGATAAACTGGAGAAATGGTCTGAAGTAAATAGGATGAAATTCAATAAGAACAAATGCAAAGTACTCCACTTAGGAAGGAACAATCAGTTGCACACATACAAAATGGGAAATGACTGCCTAGGAAGGAGTACTGTGGAAAGAATCTGGGGGTCATAGCAGATAACAAGCTAAATAGGAGTCAACAGTGTAACACTGTTGCAAAAAAAGCGAACATCATTCTGGAATGTATTAGCAAGAGTATTGTAAGCAAGACACGAGCAGTAATCCTTCTGCTCTACTCCACGCTGATTAGGCCTCAACTGGAGTATTGTGTCCCACATTTCAGGAAAGATGTGGACAAATTGGAGGAAGTCCAGAAAAGAGCAACAAAAATGATTAAAGGTCTAGAAAACATGACCAATGAGGGAAGATTGAAAAAATTGGGTTTGTTTAGTCTGGAAAAGAGACGACTGAGAGGGGACATGATAACCGTTTTCAAGTACATAAAAGGTAGTTACAAGGAGGAGGAAGAAGAATTGTTCTCCTTAACCTCTAAGGATAGGACAAGAAGCAATGGGCTTAAATTGCAGCAAGGGCGGTTTAGGTTGGACATTAGGAAAAACTTCTGAACTGTCAGAGTGGTTAAGTACTATAATAAATTGCCTAGGGAGGTTGTGGAATCTCTATCATTGTGGATTTTTAAGAGCAGGTTGAACAAATAGCTGTCAGGGATGGTCTATACTTAGTCCTGTTTTGAGTGCAGGGGACTGGACTAGATGACCTCTCGAGGTCCCTTCCAATTCTATGATCTTGCTTCGGCAGCACATATACTAAAATTGGAATGATACAGAGAAGATTAGCATGACCTACTGGATTTCAAGCTTGCTCTCCCCAGGTAGTCTTTCATCTCAAATTTTCAAAAGTTGCTCTCTATGGCTGGTAAACTATTGTTTTTGGTGGCACTACAACCTTGTATAAAATGTTTGCACTTGTCACAAATACAGACCAAAAAA